TTTAAAGTTTAGCCTTTCTTATAGCTTTTAAAACGCGATGTACACATAGCTAAAATTCCTACAAGACAACTCGACTTCCTCAATTTGATCAGCCTCTTATTTCCTTGAAGCTCTTCAAGGTCGGATGATCTAGTCGGACAAAATCATGGCCTCTTTTGATGTGACCTTGTAATTTACATCCATCGCACCGAATTTGGCGTTTGAGGTTTTGCGCAAGAAGTATATGATGAGGCGCGGACTCCACTCAAAATTGAACATATAATGATGCTATTTAGATTTTTTTCAAGAACCATACTTTATATTTGCTGGTGATAGCCATGGATAGATAGCAGTAACTTCAATACGCTCCCAGATCTCCGCTTTGGTGGCAGAACGGGTCCTTCAAGAGATATAAAGCACAACCTTCACCACAAATGAGCCTGTCGTTTGGTACCCCTACGTTGACGAAACGTTTTTTATCGTCAAGAACAGCATGCTGTAAAACATCTACAACCTGCCCAATGGAATCTTTCCGGACATAAAATTCACGAGGGAAACAGGGGAGCAGCAGCCGCCTTTACTTAGTGTACTCATCAAACTAAACGGTGAAATCGAGACGACTATTTAAAGGAAGCCAATGAAAGTTACACAATTTTTCAGCTTTTCAGGCAACCGTTGGCCGCAGCGACATACTTGGTCCGAACATTTGTCGAACATGTATGTAAGCTAGCTGCACGACGCCTACGAATCCGACCGGTCGTCAAGATCCTCGCCCACACCGGAAAGTGATTCAAACTTGATTCTATGAATGGTTCTGTGAATGAAAGTTGATTGGCTGACACTCCAGGTATTCGTCGCCTATTTTATTGCTGCTGGTATCTCTGAGGATTAAGTCGTGTACGAGCCTGAAAGCTGAGCTCTTCTTCCAGCCTTCTCCTTTACTCACTATTTTTTCCTTCCTTTGTGCATCAGTTTACTATGGATTCAACGAAGCCCAGAGTGCAGACACTTTGCCAATAGTAGCGAATATTCGAGTCCCAGGAAGCAGTTCAGAAGACGA